GGGAGGATTGAAGGGAATAGAAGGAAAGTAGAGGCAGGGCAAGGAAGGGAGCTGACCTTTGCCGAGCACCAAGCCCGATGTGCCAGGCACCGAGCCAGGCAGACACAGGAGATGCATAGGAGACCTTTCCTGCTCGTAGGACCCCATCGATACTGATCGCAGAGTGAGACCCAGGATTTAACACCAGTTGATCTGCGTGGCCTTCTCCTGCAGTGTTTGTCCGGTGTAAGGACCCACGGCACCCCGAGCATGTATCTGCCAGGGGTCCCAGGACCTCACTTCCACACATGCCTCAATTAAAAGTTAACCCTGCCATGCTGAGTGATCGCATTGGGGCCAAGGCAACTGACCATAAAGATCCAAAAATGGAGATTGCGTAACAGTGCTCAGCATCGTGGTTGGGATCCAGATGATACCAAAACAAAATGAAACGCCCGTCTCGCTCTTTAGATGACCATTGGCGTGTCGACACAAAATTGTGTCTTCTTGGTCACAGAAAATACAACAGCTCTGAGCGAGCCGTTCTGAGCAGCGGCGTGCATTAACTCGTTTAAGCCATGAAAAACAACCACCCTCTTGCAGATAAGGACACTGAGGCGACCGCCCAGTCCCACCTGCGGTAACCGCTAACACATAGCGTGGCCAATACGGTGATCTGACTTCCGCCCTTAACCATCGTATGTTCTCCGGGCCAACCTCTGGCTGAAGACCCCAGTTCGATAAGCTCAGCCGGATGACGGTGATTTGTAGGCGATGGAAGTGTGTGGTAGGGGCTGGGGAGCATGGGAGGCTCTGGCAGTTCACGCAGGGAGTACTGGAGGGGCATGTAGGGGCTGGCATTTGGGGGTGGCTGGGGGCGTCTCCCCTGGCTCCGGCTGCAGCGCCAGGTGGGACCCGTCAGCCTCGTGTAAACACTTCTCCGGGCAGCTTAACCACTTGAGTGTGACTGGCCTTCAAAGCCGGGCGGGAGAGGCCGAGGAGGGAGGTGCTGAACTCCCTCGTGGGATAATGATTTATCTCCCATGCAGGTGGGCTCCCTGGGGCCTCCCTGAGAGGTGAAGGGGAAAGGGACTGGGATGGGGTGGGCGGGGCACTGCCACTCTAGCATTTCAGATTTCTCATTCGTAAGCCAAAAACTCAGCCAACTCTCAGAGCAAGCCTGTGAAATAGGCATCTTTGTCCCCATTCTATAGATGAGGAAACTGAGGTTCAGGGAGGCTCAGTGACTCGTTCAGAGGCATCTAACCAGCAGACGGGAGGGCAGTGCTTCCCTGGCATCTCCAAAGCTTCCTGAAGGCTCGCTGTTTCCTTCTATCCCTGGGTGAGCGTGGGTGGGTCCGCACCAAAGTGTTCAGGGCAGTGCTTGGGCAGACCTCTCTGCTGGGAGAATGTGTGGGAGCGCGCGATCCTGAGCGTGAAGCGGGGTTTTCGGCCTCGGACTCCCCGGTCGGGCTCCAGACACATTTCACTGGGGAGGGACCAGCTCCCCCTGCCCCCATCACCCGGCCAGCGGGTCCAGAGACCTGGCTCTCGCTGGGCTGGGGGATTATCCCCATTCTCTGTGTCTCTGGCCAGGGCGGGCATCGCTGCCTCTTTTATCCTCTCACAAAGGCCAGGCCCGCGGGGCCTGCTGTGTCAGAGTTTCTGTGGCGGGGGGAAGCCTTACTTCCTTTTCTCCCACCAAGCCCAGAGGGCCACGCAGAGTCTGCCGGCTTGTCGGGGGCCACTGCTCTAGCCCCACAGGTGAAAGGCACAGGGGTGACTCAGCACCGGGAAGAGAGGGCTGAGGGGTCCCTTACAGAAGGACAGAGAGAGCTCCTCTTCTAGAGAGAGGCGATTGCTGCAGCATGACGTCCGTAGGATAGACCTAAAGAAGGACTTCCAGTTAGAGCCCGGCCAACATTGGGCAGGGGTGGGGCCAGCTAGTTCCCAGTGATCCACAGATTTGATCTGTCTACCATATTCCAGCTGCGTGGGTAGCCGGCTCCAGTCCCAGGTTAGGGGACTCTGCAAACTTCCTGGGAGAAGGGGCAAATTCCTTCTACAGGGGTGCCAGGTGGGGAGCTTGTAACATTCAACCATTCTGAGTTCTCACAGTCTCCTGGCTAAGGAGAGCCACAGGGGAGGGTAGGAGGTATAAACTGGGGGGGACCGTGTGGTTCCCCAGAATTAACCTTTCTTTCTCCTCCCCTACCAGGTTGGTTTTTGGAGGCGTCCCTGCTGAAGTGACAAAGAGTTCTCCCACGTGACACCCCAAGGTGCCTTTGAGGAACGCTCTCTGGACCTCCCTATGGGCTGAGGAAGAAGTTGCCTCCCCACGCCCTCTCTGTCCCCAGCTGAGATTATGGTGGATTTGGGATACGGCCCAGGCCTGGGCCTCCTGCTGCTGACCCAACCCCGCAGGCGTTAGCAAGAGCCCTGCACTGTCCGCCCCCCCTCCCCAGAGACCACCCCTCCTACCAGGGGCCTGGAGTTGGCGAGTGACTATGCGGCTTGGGCTGTGTGTGGTGGCCCTGTTTCTGAGCTGGATGCATCTCGCTGCCGGCAGCCGGGGGATCAAGGGGAAGAGGCAGAGGCGGAGTGAGTAATGGAGCGGGGCCGGACCACGGCTGGCCTTGGGAGCGGGCGGGGGCCGCCTGGGGACTAGAGGGCCATCGGTGGTTTCCTTCTCTGATGACCATTGCAGATTCTACTTGTCTATCGCCACTTCGTACTTTCCTCAGTAGATTATCCTGCTTGTGGATTATCCAGCTTGTGGATTGATTTGGGGGAGATTACCCACTCTGCAGATTACCCACGTTGTCTGTTTTCCCCTTTGTAGACTCTGCTTTCTAGATTAACCTCTCTCTTGTGAGGATCCAGTTTGTGGATTATGCCCCTTTGACATAACACCAGCTTTGTGTGGTATCCATGGAGATGTGTCCCCTACCGCTGTGGCCTGGGGTTCATGGTCCTCTCCTCACCGACAGGAGTTCAGGGCTCTTTTCTTTGAGTCTTGGCTGGAGTGCAGCCCTCAACCCCTTGGGGCCAGGAACTCTGCTCAGCTTGGGCAACGGCTTTCCCTGCCCAGATCACCGGGCAGAGACAGCGGAGCAGGGAGGCTCGTGAAACTATCCACTCCCGTGGTTTTTAACTCTGCCCGGTGGGATTCAGGGAGCCGCACGGGGGGCTGAAAGGGAGGCAGTGGGAAGGCGTCTGGCCCCACTGCCCACCCAACCAGAGTGCCTCACTCTTCCCTGCTTTCGGTAAGATTCCACGTAAGATGTCACTGGAAAGAAGGGTCCTCCCAGTTTAAAAACTAAACCGAACTAAATTCTATTATTGTACAGATGGGGAAACCGAGGCTAGGACACGGGAGGAGATAATAGGCCTAAAGACACAGGGTCGGTATTGGAACGTAATTAGTTCCCGTGAGCCCAGTCTTCCTAAAAACAGAGCTTGATGGAAATCGCGACTGACTGGGCAGCCCTGAGAGCCCTCGGGCCTCAGCCTGGCTCCAGCAATGGGGGACCCGTACCTGCCCAGTATGTAGTGGGAGTGGCCACTGTGTGTATGGGACCGTGCCAGGGAGAAGGAGGAGGCCGATGTTACAGACCCCAGGGCCTGTCCCCCATAAAAGATGCCACGCCCCCAGGCCGGAGGCTCCACAGAAGTGTGGCACAACCAGACGGAGGCCCACGAGTAAAGGTGGAAAGGCAGTGGAGTTTTGTCGGGCCTCTGCGGGAGCGGCCAAGGCCAGAACCCAGCCCAGGGAGAGAAGCTCAGAGAATTGGTGAAGCTGAAAATCCCCAGCTTAACAAACAATTAGAGACGGTTAGGTTTAATCAGCAGCGAGGCCTTGATTTTCCTCCCTTCCTCTCTGTTGCGGCCAGCGTTTTGGACTCCATGGGCCAGATGCGGTTTAGCGGTTCATAACCAGTCTCCTCTGTTTCCAAGATGGGAGAGAGAGAGAGAGAGAGAGCAAACGGGAGGGAGGGACGACTCGTGCTCCCGCGACGCACACTGGCGGTCACGCTTCCCGCTCGCAAGCAGAGCCACGCATCCCCCACCTCCCTAAGCCAGGGGTCGAAGAGCTGGGTTCAAGGCTTTTGTACAGAAAAAAAATAAGTGAATAAAAAGCACTGGCCTGAGCCTGCAGAAAGGGCTCGGTCCCTGCAAAGGGCCATCAAATGCAGCAATTTGGATGGGTCTACTTTTTTTTTTTTTAACGTTTATTTATTTTTGAGAGAGAGAGAAAGCGTGAGTGGGGGCAGGGCAGAGAGAGATGGAGACACGGAATCCGAAGCAGGTTCCAGGCTCCGAGCTGTCAGCACACAGCCCGACGCGGGGCTCGAACTCACAAACTGTGAGATCGTGACCTGAGCCGAGGTCAGACGCTCAACTGACTGAGCCACCCAGGCGCCCCTAGTCTATGTGAGATTTTATTCACATGTATTTATGTGTCGTGAGCTCTTTGTAAAACACCAAGCTCTGTATAGACTTTGGGATGCACGTCACTGTTATATAAACAACGTGTGGGCCATCTTGCGCTCGGGTTTTCAGGGTTGAGGGGAGGGAAGAAAGAGGCCCAAGATGTGGTGTGTGGCTACCCTGGCCTCCTAACCACTGGACGGCAGAGGAGGCTGGCTGGCTGTGCTGTGAGCCTCTGGTCTGTCGACTCTGCCATCATCTGTAACTGCGTGTCAGTAGGGCTGTTAGAAGCCACCCCATGCGGCTCTGATCTGGAGGCACACACCAGTTTTGAGTCCAGAAATGGCTGGTCGCGTGTCTGATGGTCTCCCTGCCTGGAGGGGGAGAGACTGAGCGAAGTGCTCTTCAGTTGTGAGTTACGAACCCTGGCAGATCGACTTCCTCCTCTCCTGTTCGCTGAGGACGCATCCCCTCCCTGAACCCCGTCTTCACTCACTCCGCTTCTTGTCTTCTCGCCCTCTCCGGAATGCCTTCCCACCTGGATTTTGTGCCCCTCACCCTGCCCTCATGTTCTCACTACTCCTGGCATTGAGGGCTCCTTCCCCTTACTGAGACCCTTCTCCTAACTGATTCCTGGGCCCCTTGCTTAGTCCTGCTCCCATGAAGCCCCCATTCCTTCACTGAACCCTGACTCCCCCATCCAACCCCATCCAGACTTTGTGGGGAAGTGAGATCAGGGGAGACTTCCCGGAGGAGATGACTTTAGTTCTGAGGCTTGAAAGAGTTACTCAGGCTCAGGAAGTGGCAGAGAATGGTCCAGGAAGAAGGACCGATTTGAGCAAAGACACGCAGGTGTGAAATAGTGTGATATTCTTCTTAAAAAATAGTTAATGATAGCTGGGGTAGTGTTGAGAAATGAGAGAATGAGATCAACTCAAGAGGAGAGGCTTTCCAGGCCAGGTGGAGAAGCCTTTAAAGGTAGATAAGGTCTCAATTCTTTTTTGTTAGCCAGGGGAGGCTTAGAGGTGGTGGGGATGTTAAGGCAGGGGTATTGTTTAACTTTAGGAATATCAACACAGGGAGGTTTTTTACTGAGATAGAAAAACCACACAGAAGTACAGAGAGAATAAGCGGGGGAGGGGAGGCACAGCACTTACCTTCACCAGCCTGGAAGTGGAGGCTACTTTGGATGAAACCGTGGGAGAAGGGTTTCCCACAGTTGGGAAGCGGAGGCTCCATCCCCTACTCGGTGCCCTCCACTTCATCCCACAGCCCCACCCGGCCTCCTCTTGAAAGCCAGGCTGGGCGTCTCCAGGCTGCCTCCCCTGGCCCTTTCCCCTCCATGTAGTGATGACAAAGAAAGGGTCTCCTTTCAGCATGAAGATGGCCAGATCTTTTGGCCATGCCTTCTAGGTCACCTTCCTGCCAATGAGGAGGCAAAAGCCCCCATGTTGTTGTGTGAGATGCACTGGGATGTTGCCTCAGAGAGCACAGCTTTGCACAGGCGGGTTCCTCCTGTATGCCGGCTGCACCTCTTCACTTTAGCCGACTGCACAGATTTGAGGGGTGCCTTTCGTGCCTCATCCGTAACTTACACGTTGTAGCCAAAGCCCTGCCTGCCGCATCCCTGGGTGGGCCTTTGTTTATATCTCCGGTCACACAAGCACCACAACTTCGGGCACGTGTTCCCAAGATTATTGCCACTAAACACGTCTGTCAGTAAGAATGAGCAGACCTGGGTTTCGCTTTGATGATCATTATATAAGCCCCCCCAACACCCTGTCTTCCCCGGACCCCCCCTCCCACACACAGACCCCCCTCCCTATGGCTGTCCATTGCCCCACTGCCCGTGCATTTGTCTCACTAAGCCGAGAACAGCGTTGGGTTCCTATCCTTCTTGACCAGCATCCCTTTCCTCGTTGAACTTCCCAGCTTCTCTCTGAGCCCCTCCTCCTCTGCTGGCCTGTGAAGCAAGCGCGGCCAGGCTGCTCAGCCTCTGCCCGGGAATGCCTCTACTTCCACGGTGGAACCACGGATGCCCACGGCTTCCACGGACAGATCCCCGGGTTCTCTTCCCGGCTCCGCGGCTGATTTCTTGAAGGAGATGGCTCTTCTTCCTCTGCTCCTCCACCACTGCCCTCTGCCCTCGCCCCCACCAGGGGCGCCAACCCCTGTCCTCTGCTGCCTCGTTATCTGACACCTCAGCAGCCAGGGTCCTGCCCAGGGTGCTCTCCTCTTGGCTTCCACTGAGTTAGGTCCCTACCTGTCTGGTTGCCCCCTCGCAGCCTCCTAGCCGCCCTTCTTTCTTCTGTCCCTCCCTTAACTTCCTAATTCCTCCTCTCACCCTCTGTGCCCACTGTCCGCTGCCTCATGGGCCCCCATGCCTTCGGGACTGTTTTCGTGCCAAGGACTCCACATCGAGGTCTCCAGCCAAGGTGTTTTTTCTCTCGAGCTCCAGAGCTACGGGCTCGACTCCCTCATAGACACCTTCCCCCGGATGCCCCACAGGAACCACAACCTCAACCCATCCAAAACCCGACTATGCATCATCTCCCCCACCCAAACCTGCTCCTCTTCCTGCGGTCCCTCTCTCGGTGAAGGGCCAACAGCCACCCTGTCACGCAAGCCCAACACCTGGGAGTCACCCTCGGCTTGCACTTTCCCCAGCCTCTCGGCCCCACATCCAGCCCATCACCTGGTCTGGTTGCTTCTCCCACCTGAATATCTTACCTATGTCTGCTCCTTTGCATCTTCTTGGTTCAGCTGTGTCTCTTCGAGCTGAGGAGTCTTCCTGCCTCCAGATTGCCGTCCCCGCAACCCTTTCTCCATACCATACAGTGATCCTGACCACGTCTCCGATTTTAAAGCCCCCAGTAATTCCTCACTGCCTGTAGGGCAGTGTCCAAACTCCTGCGTACAGGTTTAAGACCCTTCCTCATCTGGGCCTGCTTCCCTCTCCAGCTTTCTGTCTTACTCCTCCCTCTGTGGTCCACCACCCCCCCCCCATGCTGATTTCAGACCCCGAGTGCTCCACGCTTTCTCTTGCTGTGTCACTGAGAGATCCGAAGAGAAACGCACACAGAGATTTGTTGTTGGTTGAATGCGAGGAGGATCGCAGTATTCTGAGGGGCCTTTTGCAAATCTGTCCTTAACAAAAGTGACAAGGACGGAATGAATGAGCATGGGGACATAGCTATAGTGGCCGGCAAATGGGACACCTGGATCAGTTCAATTATTGAAACCCAGGCAAGATGGGGTGCCTGGGTGGCTGAGTTGGTTAAGACTCCCGACTTCGGCTCAGGTCATAATCTCGTGGTTCACAAGTTCGAGCCCCGCGTCAGGCTCTGTGCCGACAGCTCAGAGCCTGGAGCCTGCTTCGGATTCTGTGTCTCCCTCGCTCTCTGCCCCTCCCCCGCTCATGCTCTGTCTCTCTCTTTCTCAAAAATAAATAAACATTAAAAAATTAAACAACAACAAAAAAGAAACCCAGGCAAGAATAGAGGGAACATTCATTTCAACAATGTATTCAGTAAGAATCTTGCATAACAGAGGATGTAATGTCTTGGGGATAGAAGCAGCACCTAAAATCTGCAGTACCTTATTAATTTGTAACACAGCCGAATAAAGACTCAAAGTGGAAAAGTAGTCCCCAGGGCTCCCGCATAACGCCAATGCAACATGTGAGTATTTTTGCTCTTAGAAGAACTAAACCAAGAACAATATTAATTGTTAAGTGCACTGGTCGATTAACACTGACTCTATGCAACTAAATTCTATACTTAAAAAAAACCAACAACAATCGACTCCTACTTCTGGTCCCCACGTCACCCGGCGTGGTCCTGCCCTTGGCCTTCCTAAACTTCGTTCCCTCTGCCTGGAGCACGTGCGGGCCGCGAAGCCTTGGCCAAGTCCCGTCACTTCTCCAGGTCCTCCCCCGTAAAAATGAGGATGATAACATAATAACAGCACCTGCTTCATGGATTGTGCGAGTTAAGTGAGTGAACACTCGATGACCTCTGAGGACAGATTCAGTTCTGGACGCTTGGTAGTTAGCGGCCGTTGCCGTGGTTACCGCATTGTTACATGGTTGTGTTCGTCATGGTCTTTTTCGCTTCTTCTGCTCGCCTTCTTAACTCCAACTCATTCTCCTGTTCTGAAATCAGGGATCACTCCTCCCAGCAGCCCTCCAGAGTGGACATCCTCATGTCCCTCTCCAGTGGTGGCAAGGGAGGCACACTAGACACTGTGTTTCGCCCCGGGTCACAGGCTGGGAACTTGGCTCCAGCTCTAGGTGACTCGGAAGCCTGAGCTGGGGGTCCACTATGCTGCGTGTAGTGGCAGTGGTCCCGCCGTCTGTTCTGATCCTCCCGGCCCTCCGTCTGCAGCCCGTGTCTCCAGCCCCTCGCTGCAGGCTGGGTCCTAAGTGGCTCATAACCTCTCTCCCTGTCCCCTTCTCCACCTGCTTGCCTTCCCATGGAGTGAGCCTCCTTTAGTGACCAGCCACACTGTTCTGCCACCTACCCTAGCGCTCACCCCAGACTCCTCCCCCCTGTTGGTCACTTCCGCCTACCGGTTATAGTCCCTAAGCTTCTCTCAAATCTGTTTCTGTCCATCTCCAACTGAGCAGAATTTTCTTTCAGACATTCTCATCTTCCTCATCTGGATGAGCTGGTCCACTTCCTTCCAAATGGTCCTTCAGTCTCTGGTCTCCACCCACGCTGCCGGAAGAACCTTCCAATGTACAAATCAGCCCGGGTCCTGCACCTTGCCGATAGCTTCCTCCTGTCTAATCAGCTCGGAGAAATGTCCCAGGAAAAGCTCTGCAAAACAAGGGTTCTGTGGCCAAAATGTTTGGGAAACAAAGCTTCCTCTGTCCCCCTCTTAGGGAGCCACTGCACAGGAGCATAATAAAAGGGTTGAAGACGCCCTACAGTAAAGAATCCTGTTTAGACCTGTGGGACCCAGCGGTTCTCAGTCTTACCTGACGTAGTGGCTTTTTCTCCACAGCCTTTGATGAACATCTAGGGGAGAACATGGTCCCAGGAATGCTCTTTGGGAAACACTGCCTGGCAGGATCAAGTTCAAATTCCTTACCGTGATATCGAAAGCTCTTATCTTTCGCCATTCCCCTCCCTACCCCTCCTGCACCCCAAATTATCTGCAATTCCCCTGGCTGTTTTACACCTCTGTGGTCCTGTTCCTAGAAGGCTGTGATCTCTACTTCCTAATGGACAAATCTCTACGGATTCTTCAAGAGTCGGCCCAAATGGCGCCTCCTTTGTGACTCCTTCCCTCTCTTCTTTTTGGGGTCACTATCGCCAGGCCTGCGGCTGTCAGCATTTGCCCGTCTGCAGGTCTGTCGGCACCACCGAAAGATCAGTTTGGAGGGTCAGGCGACCTCGTGTCCAGGCCCCTGGCGCTCACACTGCACAGGGTACTTGGGAGGGGCTCGGGGAGTGTTGGTTAAACAAGTCCATAAAGGAATGACATCGAAGGTTTGAGACCCCGTGCGGGGGCTGGAGATCACACCGCCTCAAAGGATGGCCAGGGTTTCTCAACCTCAGCATCAGTGCCATTTTGAACCAGACAATTTCTTGCGGGGGCCACCCCGTGCATTATAGGATGTTTCGTGGCATCCCTGGCCTCTCTCCATACCGGTAACAACACCCCTCCCCGGAGTGACAGGTCCCTAGACGTTGCTACATATCCCCTGGGGAGCAAAATCGTCTCTGGTTGAGGCCACTGTTCTGGACATAGTTATTCTAGTTGTTTTCCTGTCTCTGACCAGATGATCCTTTGCTCAGATAGCTTAACCCATTGTCCTTCTTGACCTTAAACCTTTCTCAAGGCTAAAAAATACCCGCCTTCCATACCTGAGCCTTCGTACCTGAGGCTGAACCTTGCGTCCTCTGGGGAGGGCAGGGGTAGGTTCTGGGAAGCGTGCGGCTTCAGCAGCTTCTCCCGGAAGGGTAGAGCAAGCCCGGAGAGCGAGCCTGTGTTGTGCCTGGAGCTAGAGAGACACTTAGGGTGGACGAGGGCGCTTGCTTCAGGCATCTGTGCTAGTTCCCTTGAGAGATGATGCTGGGGAGGTTTACAAAGCAGTCTTAAAATGTTTATTCATTTTCGAGAAAGAGAGAGACAGAGCGTGAGCGGGGGAGGGGCGGAGAGAGGGGGAGACACAGAATCGGAAGCCCTGAGCTATCAGCACAGAGCCCGACGTGGGGCTCGAACCCACGACCCGTGAGCTCATGACCTGAGCCGAAGTCGGACGCTTACCCGACTGAGCCACCCAGGCGCCCCTATGAAACCGTCTTAAAGAGGTGCCATCCTGGCATGTGCCTCCTGAGAAGCACAGTCATTGCGCGGGAAAGAAACCCCAATCTACTCACTTCCCAACCGTGTGGGGGCCTGGGAAAGACGGTGGCCTCGCCTACAGCCCCTCCTTCCCCCTGTCCCACCCTTGCAGTCAGTGCCGAGGGGAGCCAGGCCTGTGCCAAAGGTTGTGAGCTCTGCTCGGAAGTCAACGGCTGCCTCAAGTGCTCGCCCAAGCTGTTCATCCTGCTGGAGAGGAACGACATCCATGTAGCCAGGTGAAGCGTGTGCCTCCTGCCTCCTGGCTACCCAGCGCCCATAATGGCCACGAACAAGTGCATCCAGTGAGGTGTGGGAGGGGGCTGGGCTGGCCCCGGGGAGGGTGCTTGCCCCAAACCGGGTGGTGGCCAGCAGGAGAGGAGTGGGGCCTTTTCCCGAGGGGTGGGGGGGGGGCAGGGTCAGAGCTCTGATTCAAGCCAACTGCCAACCAGGCTCAGAAGGTCCATTCTCTCTCCTTCGGCTCCCAGCAGGTCCACAGAACCACAGCATCTCTGCCTCAGGACGTGCACCCACCTGCACTCCCACCAGGGAGTGCCTGACCTCACCACCGGCTGGAGAGCCGGCCTCTCGGCCTCTCATTTGGCCTTACTCCGGTCATCCCATAACCACTGGTGCCGCTTAGCCTCCCTCCTCGTCCTCACCTGTGGTCTCTGCCCCAGGCTCGGCACCTCTGGAGTGTGGAGCTTGTTTATCATCCTCCAACCCCACCCTCCCTCCACACCACAGCCAGAAAGCCAGTGCTTCCTGAGTATGTTGTGTCCTTTCCCAAGGACACTTCTGTGAACCCCACGCCCGGGCTCCCTGACTAAATTCCATCCCTCGCCCAGGTCTTCTCTCGGCTGGGGTCAGCTCTATCAGCTGCAGCTCACACTGCGTGTGCTCCTAAGAGCCTGGCCCGGCCCCCTGTTCGAATCACAGTGCTTTTAAGAACACGCCTGGTAATAATGCCAGTCGCCTCCCAGTTGGTCAATTTTCCGAGGTTTGAAGCATTTCCAGACCTCCTATCGACCTCACAACAGCCTTTGGAGGTGGGACCACAAATGACCTCCTTCTTTTGGATGACAACGATTGGCCTGATAATGATATTTGAATAAGCCTGGGTTTCCCTGTCTCCTCAACTCTCTTCTCACTTGTTGTGCAACATGATTTTGCAAGCCTCTCCAAATCCTCATCTTTAAAAATGGGAGTGGTAGTTTTTACCCCCTAGGGTTGTCATCAGAGGCATATAGAAAGCCCCTAGGCGTCTGAGCTCTGTGGTAGGTATATATGTTGTCTTTACTGTATTTCACCTGCATTAGGGAATCCAGCAAGAGAGGAGGGAGGCTATGGAAGAAACAGGAATAAACTGACCCAGGAGGCACAGAAGGGTGGGGGGTGGGGTGGGGTGGGGTGGGGAGCTTTTGTGAGCTAGAGGTGGGGCCCTGAGGGCTGCCCTCTTGGTGGTCCTTGGGGTATTTGGGGTAGGATGCCTGGCTGTTGCCAGCTCCTGAAACTGGCCCCAGCTTCCCCAGGTGCCAGGAACTGGGAGGAAGTTAGTCCTGCACGATCTGGGAAGGGAGGTTGTGAGAGCCCTGCCTATAACCCCCACCCCACTTCCCAGAGGGAGGGAGAGCTGGCAGGAGGATGGGGGAGGGACCCAGGAGTCCAGCGGGTGGTTCAGGGCAGGGAGAGGTGCCCTGGGATCTCCTCTCCCTGCCCCTCCAGCAGACTGCCGCTTGGGGGCAGGAGGAACCAGGCGTGGGATGTGGTGGGTGCAGCAGAGGAGAGGAAACCGTTGTATCCCTCAGTTCGACTCTGACCCTCTGACGGGTGGCCCGGGGTGCACCCACATTTGGACCTTCTCTCCTGGAATCCCCTGATCCCACAAGGTGCCCTATCCTCTACAGAAAACAGCTGTCTTGGAGCCTCACCTCGGTTTCCAGGGCCCACTGTAGTGTGGGTTTAGCAGGTTAACTGACTGTCCCTGAGCAGAGCCGAAGGAGTGGCCATGACCCTCCTCCCCGTCACTTGCCTTCCCCTCCACACAGTCATGGCATCAGGCCAGAGTCACCACGGGGAGGTAAGCAGGGGGGGAGGAGGTCTGCCCTGGAGGGGGCTTTTGGAGTGGGAATGTGAATCAGAGGGGCCCCCATCTGGCCTACTCCTCAGAGTGCAGATTGAGCACTCAGAATACTTCAGCCAACTTCTGCACCAGGGTGGAGAGAACATATATACCTGCCTGCAAGGGCCGCTGCCTCAGCATGTCGAGGGGCTCGTGACTGCACACCAACAGGTGCTGACAGTCCTGGTGGTGTGCTGGGAGCGGGCAGGCGGGACCCCAGAGGAGGGGCGGGGCAGGGGGTGGTGTGTGACAGGTAGCTCTGGGCTTGAAGTGATGCAGCTTACCCCACACACACCACCCAGCCCTGTGGTTTCTGCCACCCTCTCACACAGAAGATGCCTCAGGCAGAAACACAGGTGGGAGATTCAAATTAATTCTGGAGTGCAGGGGGAGAGCGACCCTCCCCTTCTCCCTCTTCCTAAGCTTCCTTGGCACAATGAAATGAGTGAGTGGTCCCTGTGAGGGGCAGGTGCTCCCGAAAGAGAAGGCTGTGCGGCTTCAGGAGGGGCTCTGAGGAGGCGGTTGGAGGGTGCTCCGCCCCCAGAGACCAGCTGCCTGCTCGAGCACACCAAGGCGCAGGTGCGTCGCGGAGTTTCGCTCCTGAGGGTGAGCTGAAGCCCTCGGCCTCCCAGGCAGGGGCTGGGAGTCGGGGACGCCACGGGAGTCTTGACGCAGCTTCACGCTTCTGCCTGTCGCCCAGGGCCAGATGGGGAACCCCAACTCTGGGTGCCGGGTCGACGAGCAGTCCCCACAGGACTGTGGTGGGAGCTGGGACCTTCGATCATCCCATCCTCCAGTTTCCCCTACCGGGGTGAAGTTTGGCACGGGAGGAGGGGAAGCCCTTGGAGGTCAGATGATGGGGAGGCACAGAGAGAGATGCTGAGGGCCAGAGATGGGTGATGTGACCAAGGTCACACAGGCAGTAGGCGGCAATGATGGGGCAGCTGGCCCTGGGGGCAGGGGAGTCGGGGGCTGTCCTGCTTGTCCTGAGAGCGGCACCGAACATCTTGGCCCACTGGGTCCGAGAGGTCGAGGGGTCTACCTGCACAAGGATGAGGAGGGCGTCTGGTTCGTCGAGGGGTGGAGGGTGAGAGGCTCCCGGACCCCCGTCTCTGCCCTTGCAGGGGTCCTCTGAAGCCTTGCCAGTCAGAGGGGAAAGCCTTGGTCCCCAGCTGCCTTCGGCGACTCCAAACCCCACTGCCACAGCAGCTTCACCACCACCACCCCCCCCAAGAGCCCTCGGCCATGCCCAGGGCCACCTCGCTTGCTGTGGGACATCCTTTGTTGACTCTTCCTGCTGTTGGGGTTGCAGGGCAGAAGAGGAGGAAAGGTGGCCAGGGCCGGCGGGAGAACGCCAACAGGAACCTGAGCAGGAAGGAGAGCAAGGAGGCGGGCGCCGGCTCCCGGAGACACAAGGGCCAGCAGCAGCCGCAGCACCAGGGGACAGCGGGGCCGGTCACGCCTGCAGGGCTCACCTAGGGGCCTAGGGACATTCTTCAGCCTCCAGGCCCGTGCAGAAAGAGTCCAGCGCTGCTCTGTGTGATGAAAGCTTTACTGAACTGGAGCGCTGGGGGCACAGCGTTCACACGCTCTCCATACGTATACAGACACACACACACACACACACACACACACAAGGGTCCATGGCCAAACATGCAACCAGCGTACATGTGTGCATCCGCGCGCATGCGCGCACACACACACACACACACACACACACACACACACAATCGAGGCCACCGGATGACACTTTTATCTCCCGGACGTCACCGTGTGAACAGGGTGGGGAGGTGGAGGGGTCACCTCCGCCTGGCAGAGGGCCCAGCGTCACAGACTTGGTTTGCGATGCTCCCAAGGGACATGTCAGAGAGACCATTTCCCCGCGTGCAAGCCCAAACAGAGTGGAGCCTTCTGGAGGAGCTGATAGGATCAGTCCAGGGTGGCAGACAGGAACCAAAGCTCAAGGCCTGTTCAGCATCTCCAGCTGTGTGACTTTATCATTGGAGAGTATTGTTACACACCCACGATCCGTGTCAGGGCTGCCCCGACTCTGAAAACTGCTTAAAAGTTTATTTCAAATTAAAAACAAAACCAAATGACAACAGTAGCCACAGGCAGCACGTTCCTTTTCAGGGTCCAGGGGTTGGTGGGGTACACGGGAGCAGGAAGGAACAGGGCTGAGTTTTGAAGAGATCCCCTAATGGCCTTCTGGACGGAGGGTCCAGAGCAGGAAGAAAACTTTGGGGATACTCTGAGGGTGATAACCAGCTTCTCTACATCCTTATTACTCAGAGTGTGGTCTGCGGACCGGCATCAACGTCGTCACCGGGCAGCCCGTTAGAAGTGGGAGTCTCGGGTCACATCCCAGACCTGACGAACCAGAATCTGCGGTGTAACGAGGTTCCAGGTCCCTGACGTGCACATTCAAGTTTAAGAAGTACTGCTCGGATTACCTCTGCGGACGGAACCAAGGTCCTGGCCACCTGGCCACGGGAAGGGTTCTGGTCGGCCGTGCAGGAAGACTTGCCATCTGGGAGAGGTAGAATCTGCGTCCTGGGGGGGTTAGTGGCACCCTAGGGGCCAGGGACGCCCAGGTTGTCTGGGATGGTTGGAAACCCTTGGATCCCAAAGACAGAACGGTGGGTAGAATGACCTCTTGTGGCATCCCCAAGTGTCCACTGGTAGCCTAATGGGCCCCGGGCCCCGGACTCAGTGTTTGGTTTCCAGGGGGAGCCAGGCAGGGACCTTGCCCTCACAGAAGTAGAGGTTGGTAGGGGTGACAGTCATGGACCAAGGGATCCTTCCGATAAGTGTGTAATCACAAATGGGTGGAGTTGAGGCCAGGCAACCCCTGGCACGTACACATAGCTATGAAAGTGAATTAAGGTGAATCGAAATAAGACTTTATCTCAGGGAAGCTTTTCAGAGAAGGTGGTATTTGAGTCAAGCTCTGAAGGGTGAGTAGGAGTTAAGACAGAGAAGGAATGGCGTTCTAGACCAGTGCTGTATGATAGAAATATCATATGAGCCACTGATGTCATTAAAAAGTTTTCTAGTGACCATGCTTAACGAGTAAAAAGAAACAGGCGAAGTTAATTTTAATAATGTCTGTTATTTAACCAAATAGATGCTAAAATGTTACCTCTTTAACATGTAATCAGCATAAAAATGATTAACAACATCTTTTACATTTTCTTTTTCAAACTAAGTCTTCACCACTCTGTGTATATTTACACTGCACAGCATATCTTAATTTGGACACGGAATCCTCACCGGAAATACTTGATTTGTATTTAGATTTCAGAAAAATTGAAAAGTAGATTCGCATACTGAATTCCTGGTTCAGGAATAGTTAACGGTTTTCCAACTATTGAATTGAATATGTTTTAAATTTTAAATTGAATAATTAAAATTAGATAACAGTAATGATTCAGGTCTTCAGTTGTACCAGCCATGTTTCGAGGGCTCACTAGCTACATGCTACTGTGTTGGACAGCAGAATTGTGTATAGGGGGCACTGTACATGCAAATGTCCTGTGGCAGAAAGGAGCGTGGTGTTCAAGGGACTAAAAAAAAAAGCCAATGTAGCTGGAAGGCCTGGACGGCAAGTGAGGTGAGAGGATTCCAGAAAGATCTCCCAGAGTTGGGTCTTTATTCTGAGAGCCAGGGGAAGCTGCTAAAGGATTTTAAGCAGCAGGCCAACATGCCCAGATTTGCATTTTGCAAAGAACCTGGAGGCTGTCGTGTACAAGACAGATTGGAGGGAAGCTGCCTAGGGGGCTGTTGCTGTCATCCAGGTGAGAGGTGTTCGAGACACGGACTAGAGGAAAGGGAGACATGTGGATAAAGTCAAAAGGCATTTGGAGAATGAAGTTGGCAGAGTTTGGTGATAAACTGGATGTGGAAGAGAGACGAAAGGGAGAGGAGGCTTCAAGGACGAAGTTCCCATTTCTGTCTGGAACACTCACAGGTGAGACGGGGAACCCATGAGGAAGACCAGTTTGGGAGGAGAGGGTTTGGACCGTGGTGAATGTCAGGTGCCTCTGAGACATCCCGGTGACCATGGCGAGTAGATGGTGTGTAAATGCAGATGCAGGTCTAGCGTGTCCGGGGCAAGTCTGAGCTGGAGCATAAACTAGTATAGAGCAGATAATTGAGGCTGTGGGTTTGGAAGAGGTCGAATAGAAAGAGCGCCGGGGGAGGAGCGCGCTCAGGACTCAGCTGTGTGGCCCTCACAAAGATCAGACAGTGGGGAATCAATCCCGGAGGACGCACAGCAGAAGCAGATGAGAAGGACCCAGGGAGCCAGCGAGCAGGAGAGAGATCACGGGGACCTAAAGTGCTCAGAGACCACGTAAAGGAGGACTGGAAGTCAACCGTCGGACTTACAACACGTGTGCCAATAGTCACCTCAGCGAGAGCCATTTGGAGGGCTCACGGGGGCAGAAATCGGTAGAGACGGTTCCTCCAGGAAGTTTAGCCCAGAAAAGGGGAGAAGCAGGACAGGGGCTGGAAGGAGGGATGGGGGTGGAGAGAGTCCTTTTTTTTTTTTTTTTAAAGGTGGGAAAGACTTGAACATGTTTAAAACCCACTGGGAAGTGTCCAGTTGAGAAAGAGGTCGAATCCACAGGAGAGCAAAGGGGAGACGAGTAGTGGGAGACCCCTGGCGGAGAGCCAGCTCAACAGCCAGGAGAGGTGTGTGCCGGGGAGGGAAGGCTAGAGGTCTGGAAGGTGGGGGAATCTCAGGTGCGTGCACCTGACACCCTGTGGGATCCTCTCTCTGCCTCTGCCCCTCCCCGTTTCTCTGACAGTCCTCCCCTTTCCCTCTTTTTGGCCCCCTATCTTTCTCTGTTCCCACCTCAGCCCCCGATTCTAGTTGTGCACGCCGTTGTTTCTCTCTGTTCTTCTGTCTCCCTTCTGGGCACCAACCCTAAGCCCCGCCACGTCTTGGCTGCCTCTGGCTCTGATTGGTCCTGATCTCCCAGATCCCCTGGGTCCCCAATACGCAAAGCGCAAAGCGTAGCCATGGATCAGCAGCCTCGGAGCTTGTTAGAAACGCGGAATCTCACGCCCCTCCCACACCTAGAGACCCTGAATCTGCCGTAGAGCCCCGAGTAATTCACGTGCATGTTAACTCACGGGCATGCGCGTTGCCTGCAGCGCTCCTCTAAACACCCAAGCAAAAAATCAGAATCTTAGCAAGATGGAACGATCTGAATCCTCCTGCAACTCCTGTGTCACCTTGGTGTTACTCTGAGACCTTCAGCTTCTCCGCATCCACTCCTTAGGCTGCTCCCGAAGCTCTAGGCCAATGGGGAAAGGACCATGACACAGGCTTCAGCGGGGCCTGAGTTTCCACACCTGCAGAATTACGGGTGGGAGGGAATTCTCCTGATACCAATATGCCGGGCACTTCTAGATATGACCTCTTCTTGAAAAGTTAGCCCCGCCTGGACCTACCCCTGTCTGTCTCACTCTATCCTTTAAAGACTAAGAATGTGGTTTTGAGCTGGTGGCGGGGTGTGGGTTCCACACGGTTGGGGGGGGGGCAGTGACCTGTGCATGGCCCTAGATGGAGCCCACCTGAGGCTGTGGACCACAAGGCTTGACCAAAAGGCACACCTGGTGATTTTCAGGCACACCGGAAAGAGGGAGTGTGGTTGAGATTCCTAACCCTACCCCCCCCCACCCCCCCGTTCAGGCAAACACAGCACATGATTTTTATGTGGCCATTATGTGCCCACATTGTCATTTGGGAAAGGTTAGTTTTTTCCTCCACAAGGTCGCAGATCTGCCCAGACTAATACATCTCTGTCACCTTACCCAGTGCCAGCGTGGGTATGTTTCAGACCAAGTCTCTAGAGAATGGATTTGTTTTCCACTTCAGGATGTTGAGTGATGGAGTTGTTTTCTGGATTTTTTTAAAGTGGTTTTTCCCCCTCTCTGGTTGGTTTTGTTTGGTTTAGAAGGGCGGTGAGGGAATTTAGGAAAAGGGTCAATTTCCTGGGCCTTGATTCAAGCCCTTGACCTGGGCCCAGGCATTTAGGTGCTTGATCTTGTTCCCTGGCTTCCCATAGCTGTAGTCCAGACCAGACTTAAACGGACGACAGGTGGAAACCCCAGCGAAAGGTGTCAAAGGAAGGAGAAAACAGCCAGCAAGGACAGCTTCCATTTTGGAGGATTAAAGAGATTCATTGCGAGGGGGGTTGTAGTACAGTCTGGCTGGTAAAAGCCAGAACAAAAGCCTCGTTATAGGGGAGTAGGGAAGATCTGAAGGTGAGATGCCTCCAGGGTTGCTGAGGCCGAGCATACCAGAGCTGGGTGCACCTGCTTTGGTGTGGTGTGCCTCCTGGCGCTCCCGAGGGAAAGAACCGACACAGGGTGAAGAATAAACAGGTTTTGGCTGGAGGCTTGCTTGAGGCTCCTTCAGCATCGCATAGACCCCGGGTGAGCAGCCACTGAAGGGGCTGGGGGCAGAG